CTTGAGTTTGGGCAGCGTGGAGCACCATCTCCTCAAGGACCTGTAACAAGGCCCCCGTTGACGCGGAAGCGATCGCAGATGTATATGGAGACTATTGGAGATGCAGACAAACGACCGAGGCTGCAGTGGAGGAGGAAAGAAGACCGAGATCAATCTGGTCGTATTGCAACTTGGGTTGACAACCGGACTCCACCGCCAGGCGTGCCTCAGCCGCCAGCTCCCGTAACAGGGACGCATACCTCGTCGGTATTCAGTATGAATGCACCTCCTGCTCAAGGACAAGTTTCAGGAAAGGGTGACTCCTCTAAACAGGATGTCGGTGAACGGAGAGATGTTTCTGGAAAGGGCAAAGGCCAAGGCAGTTCTTCGGCAGCAGGCTCAGCCGCTCCCGCAAAAGGGACGCCGCGTGGTTCTGTCGCCCGAGCAATTTCCCAGAGCCGTGTCCTTCCACCTAAACGTGGCAACATCCCCAAGGACCTCTTGGGTCCCCCAACTTCACCGCCACCGTTACCAGCACCCAACAACCCACCTGCAACTGGCCTTTCACCAATCTCCGAGCCACGTCCAGCAAAACCTTCACCTCCGAAGGTCCCACCACCAAAGGTGCCTCCTCCAAAGGTTCCTCCACCGAAAGTGCCACCCAATACAGCCAGTGGCATTCCGGTACATACAAGGCCGACAGATTTCAATCTCACGCCGAAGCCGCCGCCGCTTACAGACCTTTACAGTCGGTTGCAACCTTCCGTAAAAGGAAAGGGCAAGGATAAGCAGCAGGTGAGTGTTCGAGGAGGACCTTATGCTCCACAGCAATGGAATGTACAAAACGTGCCACCGCCGCCATTGCCACCCGGAACTTCATCCGCTTCGGCATCATCGTCACATAATGCACCCTTAACTGGGCCGCCGACTTCCAGCATTCGTGGAACTATTGATCGACCATTGGAACCCTTTGATTTTCCTGGAGTACAATGGCAACGCGATGACCCATGGGGCGAGAACTATTGGCCCAATCACATGGAATTGTGGGAGTGGTTGAGGCAGGGATGGCATGACGAGACGGAGCGTTTTGGAATACAATTTCTTTAAGCAGATGTTGAATAGCTACCATAAATGGTATGCCTTGCAGCTTATGAGTGTTGAGATAAAGATCACCTTCTGACGCGCTGTGAGATGATGTTTCACTTCATTGTCTCACTTCCCAATGCATCCATAACAGGATTGCCATAGTCGGAGAGTGAACTTTTAATCAATGCTTAACACTAACCTGGGCCTAGCATGTTTAACCACATGCCGAGTGAGGCGAAAACTGTACATTAGGGTAGCTACGTTCTCCTTGTATAGTGCATGCACGAGCTTGATGAGGGATTTCTAATATGATTCCTTCGTCGCTAGAATTTGATCCTCCCCGAGATTTTCCCTACGGGTAGCTCCTTGTAAAGGGGGGTGTTGAAATTCACCTCATCCCCATGGACCCCGTAGCGTTGACTCTCAAGGTAGAGCAAAAGGTAGCGCTTACCGGACTAGCAGGGTTAGCTAGGTAGTTAGTACTATTAGAGCTGATCCTGTAAAATACAAAAAGCAAACATGCTAGGAGGTTCTCACATCAGCACTCCCCCTAGCTTTGCAAAAAGCTATCAGCCAGCATCCATCACTCGGGTACTCCTGACATTTTGTCATTCTTCCCGCGCGAGTGAGGAGCCGCTGAATCTTCTTCAGCTCAAGCCCTTTCTTGTTGGCAGGTGTTCGGTGCCAAAACTTCTTCCTTTCAACCCGTCCAGCATAGCCAGCTATGGCCTTTGATGGCCTTTCAACAATGCACCCAACCATTGTAAATGGGCCAACATGGCCTTCCAGCAATGTTGAACATCAAAACTTGGTGCGGCCAAAACATGTGACATGCAAAAAGGCTCTTCCCCTTCTCACAAACCAGTCATCAGCCGTTC